ATACACCACAACACCAAAACCCCAAAACCCCAAAACCCCAAAACCCCAAAACCCCAGCAGTTTAATTATAAGTTGATTTTATAAAATTCATGCCAAAGTCATCAAGCGAATCAGATTGCTAAAATTTGAATGTATAATTTATGAGAGGTTATGACAATTTTGGAGAAATTATTAATTGTGTAAATATTACTTCCATCTTAGTTCTAATAATTATTATTTTGTATTGATTTTATTAAAGCTTTCTGATGATCACAAAAAGAAATATAAAATATACAAAAGCATCGTTTCTAAATAACTTGTATTCAAATGTTGAGATACAACGTCTTGTAGTCAATGATACAGGCCGTTCACAATTTGATCTTGCATTCCAGCTTACAGCTGATGGAATTGACCTTGTCAGTGACCCAACTGCATTCACATTCTTTATCAATCATGTTGAGCAAGAATGGGTGACCGAAAATGGAGTTACTTACCCAAAAAGAAATTACACAAACATCGAATTTGAGAAATGTGGTGAAACCCACTTCAGCTATGATAATCTTGATGAAATCAAGAGAATCGGAGTGGACAACTACTACTGCTTCAAACACAAAAACTACTCAATAGGAGGCAGCTTCTACTCGCCCAAGTACCATTACCTCGAGATGAAGCTCCGACGCTGAGTGAGTGGTGATTCCTCATGCAAGAGTGACTCTGAAATTGAAGCTCTGGTCAGAGCTTCAAGGTTCTCGATGGCCATTGTGAACACAGTCGTAGACCTCAAAGACTACAAGAAACCGGTGCAATACATGATCGACGACGGACTTTTCTGGGAGTTGGTGCCAGACTTCAGAAAGAAAACTGACATTTTCTTGAGAAAGAATGAAGCCTTATTAGAAGACAACTATGTGCAGTTAGGGTTTCCGAAGGAAGAAGAGTTTTACCAGGTGGCAGAGACCAACGACAGATTTGAGAGTGAATCATCAAAAGGAGACTTGCTATCGATTTATCTCAGAATTGACAAAATCACAGATACGTATGAACGCCAGATCTACTCCATCGGCGAACTCCTCGGTCAAGCAGGAGGCTTCTATGGCGCCCTCATTGGCATTGGGTCGGTGTTCCTGTTCATATTCTCAGAACGGCTGTTTGTCAGTTCAGTGCTTAGGAAGATTTACCAGATAGATTCGTGGCAGGAAAAGGAAAAACTCGACAAGAAATTGAGAGAAAGACATCGTAAGGAATACAAAAATCAATTCGTTCAATATAAACCGGATGGAAGAAAGGTGAAAGTTCCTTATACCCAGTCTGAGAAGTTCCATCACCAAGCTTTTGAAGATATCAAAAGAATGAATTACCTTGAAGCCAACTCCGAAAGCAGCCAATTCAAGGAGAATGTTCTCGAGAGGTGAGAACAAAGCATGAGAGAGCGTAAAGTGTTCAAATATGGGTACAAAGATATCTTGCATTACTTGTTCTGATGAGCTTTTTGAAGGAGAAAGAGATAGATGAGGCTTAAGCCAGGATTTAGAGAACACCTTTACTTTGAAATTGGTCAAGAAAAGTTACTTGATGAACTTGATTGAGTCACCATTATTAAGGCTGTCAGGCAGCTCAAGTTATTAACAGCAGTTTTGCTAAACAAACGACAGAAATTCTTAATGAAGTTCCAGCGCAACAATGTCATTGATAGTTCGTCCTCTGGCACTTCTGATGAAGGCCAAATGAATATCATCGACCTGATGGCTAGCAAAAACAAATAAGCATGTTGAGATTGTCAACAAGAAGATAAACAAATTAATCGAGAGTTTCTGAGACAAGCCGTTTCAGGAGATTGACAAGAGAGTCATCAGTGGGATTGTCAAGAAACGATTTTCAGACTCTAAAGAAGAAAATAAGGACCAAGATCAGTCATGAGATCTTCATTTAAGTACTCTCGATGCAAAATTCTTTTAAAATTCTGACTATTCTATAGATAATAATTCATCCATATCCAAGTCTAGAAAATCAGATTCTATCGTACCTTTAAGAGGTAGACACGAAACAGAAGAGCCCATCTCCAAACCTCAAAGCCCATTCGGTCAAGATTCTGCGACTAGTCTCAAACTAAAAAATTTCGAAGACGGTATTATCGTTGCTAATGTCCAGAATTTCATAGGATGAAAAACTTAATGAAAGAGTAAAAGCTAGCTCAGATCAAAATATGAATAGTGGCACTAATATATTTCAAGCTGTTAAACCTTGATAGGGGTTTTGGGGTTTTGGGGTTTTGGGGAG